TTTTTTTTTTTTTTTTTTTTGGTTTTTTGAGACAGGGTCTCACTATGTAGCTGAGACTGACCTGGAACTCACTGTGTAGCCCAGGCTGGTCTCAAACTCTCAGCCCCTAGGGCTGGGATTACAGGCCTGAGCCACCACGCCCAGCTACTCTTTCTTGCATTATCTCAGTGGCTCTTCTCAGCAGCCAGACTAGGTGGTGCTATTAATATCTATCTATCTGTGAAAGCTGAAAGGTCAGGCACCTTCTCTCCAGACGGGTTTTTCCGATTTTACTTTCTCACTTGTGGCATCCTCAAAATTCTTCTCTTTGGGCTCTGCTTTTTCCCTCTAGGACAAGCCTACCACTTAGCAATGGACTCTTCATCAAGCCAGCTCTGACCGGTCTCTTTAATTCCAGTCCACAACAGATTCTCATTTCTGCTACCCAGCAAAGGTTTCTGAGCCTGAAACTTCTCCACAATCTGTCCACCTCTTTCCAGCTTTGATTCTCCATTTTGCCCCTCCATTATTCAACTCAGCTCCCATTAGTGCTAACTGGGAGTACCACTGTATCTGTCCCCCAAGGTGAACTGGGATACAAAAGAGAGGAAAGTGGCTTTTTTAAAAAAGTCCCAGGTACATGGGAGGCTGAGGCAGGAGGGTGGCTTGGGCCCAGGTGTTCAAGACAAGATAGGGAGAGTCTCTCAGACCCCTTAATACCCATCTAAAAAGACAGAATAAAAGAGCGATCAAAGGAAGAAACAGACAGAAAGAAGGAGAGGGGAGAGGGGAGAAAAAAAAGAAAAGAGAAAAATGCACTTATTCTCAAGGAAGTTTTGGTGATGATTTGAAGGAAGCCAAGGTCAAACTATAAAAGCACTTTTGCTTACCCTGCGGGTAGAAGGGTAGAAATCAGTGCCTTCAGCCAGGCGTGGAGCCCCACAACGCCTTTGGTGAAGCTTTTCCCGTTCTGAGCGCAGCTGCCCAGACGCGCTCGCTGCTCCAGGTCCCACCCCTGTAACGGGGAGGGAGCCCCACCCAGCAGACCCGCTCCTAGCTGGGTTGCACCCCGAGCTACCGTTCGCGGTGCGGTGAAGACGCGTTCGCCTGCCGGTCCCCATCGCCAGGGGCCCTGAGCTCAGAGGAGCCGCGCCCCCCGTGTATCCCATGCCCATCGCGGCTCTGGGCACCTCCTCGGCCTTCCGGAACTGCTGCTCTGTGAGCGGCCAGTGTCAGACCTGCTAACGAAGCCAGACTTCCCTTTCAGAGAGAGAGAAAATGAGTGAAAAGCCAGGGGAAGGGCACCTGGGGCGTCGCCACCCCGGGGCCAGACTGGAGCCCACGCTCTCCAAACCCGCAGCCGCCTCGTGGGCCAGAAGTACCGAAATCGCGAGAGCAAGGATCAGCAAAATCACTTCGCGCATTGCCTTCCTCCAGGACTTTCCGAAACAGAAAAATCCAGGCACTGCCCCAGGGACCACTCTTGCAGTGCTGAGCCCTGAAAGCCATTTTCTCCTCTTCAGAGCATATTAGTTATCTAGAACATTAGATTCTGTTTGGGTTTATTTGTACATAAACATGACGCACTTGGATCATAGCTCCCATAACCTCTCCCACTTTTCCTCCTCCTTCTCCTGATCCACTTGCTGTTCTTTAATAGTTCCCTGCTACTGTTATGTCCTCTCTCTTTGCAAAATTTTCTATTTTTAAACTTCTGATGATATAAAACATGCAATATTTGATTTTCAGAGTCTGGCTTATTTCATTTAACATGATGATCTCCAGTTCTATTATTCGGCAAATGACAAAATTCCATTTTCCTTTCTGGCTGAATGATATTCCATTCCATCTACCACATTTTCTTCTGTATGCCCTTCTCTGTTAACAGACACTTAGGCTGTTTCAGCAGCTTAGCTATTGTGAAAGGTGCTGCAATAAACCTGGTATGAGGGTGTCTCTGTAGTTTAATTCTTTCAAAAATATACCAAGGAGGGCCAGGGATTTAGCTCAGTGGTTCCGCCACCTATGTCCCAAGCACAAGGAAGGACTCGAGTTCGACCCCCAGTATCAAAA